ACCTTTAAAGATAAGAAAATGAAATGGTTAACCAAATTCGTACAGATTGAGTGATTTATAATAAAAATAACCAAAATTGAGATATTAGTCACGACGTTTTATTTTGTCATGTTGACGTGTTTTGTTTTTGTTTTTTGTTTTTGGTTCTCTTCAGTTTATCAATCGAATTGATTGGTCTCTTTAAAAGAAGAATCCAGTGACCCGCTTGCATACAAACTATCTGTGCAATATTCCTTCAAAGCTGTGTGCCATAATCGTGAGTGTACATATTCTTTAACGTTTTCATTCTTAAACTAAGACTTAGAATCCGAGTATATATGTACTAACTTTTGTAATGTTTTATCTAAATAAATCAGAAACAAATTTTGACAAATATTTTTTTGTTATTGTTTGTTAAACTGCCAATTTAGTATAGATTGATTGGTTGGTTTTAACGCCACTTCCAACACTTTTGACAATTGCGTGTCGGTTAGTTTTTATGGGGGGTTTGGTGGGGGGGGGGGGGGGGGGGGGGTAGATTTAAATCATTGTTGACAGGCAAGTGACAATAATTGGACTACTTAGACCACTTGGCCCCGAGGCCCCTGCCAATGTAGTAATGAATCCAATCTCATGCAGGCTACAAAAATCATAAAGTTAAGGCCCGCTTAAGAAAGCAAAGGTGTATGTGCCAGAAAATTAAGTCACTCTAATCATACGTCCATTTTCACTGAATTAGTACACAATTTATTCAGGGGCCAGCTGAGGACCACCTCCGGGTATGGGATTTTCTCGCGTAAAAGACCCATTGTTAGCCTTCGGCTGTTGTCTGCTCTTTGGTCGGGTTGTTGTCTCTTCGACATATTCCCCATTTCCATTCTCAATTTTATATATTTAGGTATAAAAAATGCATTTGATTTGGTCTTTCCCATCACCGATGGAAAATTGAATGGTATAACTTTGTTTGACAATTATATGTTTTGGGAGAAAAACTTCATATTTAGAATCTGTGTACTTTTTAAAAAAAAGAACACAAAATGTATAAAATAGGGAGTTGTTAAACCAATTTATATTTACTTGCCAATAAACAAATTTTCCCACCTGCCCAAACACAGTGAAACTTTTCATGAAGGACTGTGAGCGGTTTAAGTGTTTAGATTTTTATTTTATTCTAATATTCTGTTTAAATGTTTACCTAGCATGAATACAAATGAAACAACATTTTGTTGAAGATTACTAAATACGAAATGCAAACAACCTTCTTGGGCGCCCGATGGCACTGTGTTCAAAGTAGTCCAACTACTGTATCACTAGGTTGTCGGCACTGCGACTGTTAGTTCGAATATCGCACGTGGCAGTAGCGTTATACTCTAATCTTAATTGAGTCAGACGAAGATTGTCTGATTTCCAGCGAAGGTTAGTGGTTCTCTACGGATATTTCTGCTTCCTCCACAAATGAAACTTACCGCCATGAAATAGTCGATGGATCAATAACCATTTTTAAGGATCAGTTGCTTGTTATTTCTAACACAAAGTAAAATAACAACAATACGTCCGGTGATAAATATTTCAGAATAAGACATTTTGTATAGTTACTTGTCTATAATTATTGAATGTCATAACTATGTATGACCGGTACGTCTAAACACTGCTAAGGACTCCTTAGTGCATTAAGGACTTATAATATGCCACTAAGGACTAATAGGGGTGCTGTTACATGTATTTTGTTTCATACTATGGTAGAGATTGATATTTAATGCATAAATTCCAAATTTTATAGAAAAAGAACCACAAATAAATGAGTAATTGAACAATGTTTATGCACGTGCAAGTTTTTCCTTGATATTGTCGAAAATCAGTGAACCGATTGACACGAGCTAACTTGCATAACAACTGATTAAATCGGGTCAACAATCATAGTCTTTGTATATGTAAGAGAATGATAATCCCTTTCTTCATGAATAAGTACGAGCGTTAGCGAGTACTTATCATGAAGTAAGGGATTATCATTCTCTTACAAACTTAGAATATTGTAAAGTGTTCAAGGCTCAAATGATCTATTCAAGAATTAGTTTCATTGTCAGTGCAATGTTTATAATTGATGCATGACTTCCTTTTTCGGCTTGTCATTTATGGATAAGTTTTAGTGATGTGAGGACTTTCTTATCATTTGGGAAATATTTTTAAAAAAATGCGTTATAGATATTAGGTGACACAACAGTAGAAAGAAAAGGTAGGAATTGTATGTTTCCTGATTGTGAGTATGAATGTAAATCATGTAATATTTTAGTGAGGAATTATCCTTTTTTATTTACAGTTTAAATCAATTAATACATTTGAGTTACAACTAAATTTTATTTCACAGCCAATAAGATTTAGGTTATTTTTTATCTGAAAGAATTTTTTTCTTTTTTTTTGCATTGCTTTGGTATTGTTTAATTTTATAGTAATTTGAAGTTATTAAAATTTTCATAATAAAATTCACGGTACCAATTTTACTGCACCAGTAAACTTCAACTTATTTTGAGATTTTTGTTTGTTTCACAATTTAACTTTTAGTCAGTTTCAATCACTGTGTGATAAATCCTTTCAATCTGATAAATGTGCTTCGGGGCAGTTGTAACTCATTTATAGAAACTCTTTGTTTTGAACTGTAAATAGACCCAACTAATAGGATAATCCTTTACTAAGAACATGATTTACATTCATTTTTCACAATTAAGAGGCATCCAATTCTACAATTTCATTGGTCGAGAGTACTTTGCTATATTCTAATTATTTAAAGTAATTAACATGTAAAGAATAGTGCTAAATATGTAAATTCAAATGTTTTGTTTTTATTTACATAGATACAAATATTGTGTTGCTTTTGTTTTATTTCTCTTCCGACAAAGTTATTTGCAATAGATGCACGACTTTGATGTGCGTCAGTTATCGAGGTAGAAAAATATGAGTAAATTCTGCAAAACTATAAAACATAATGCTTGCTACTTGCTCCATAGTTCATACGAATTGCGATTATATAAAATTGAAAAAATCACGTGGAGTCCTTGTGGTTTAAGAACAAGTTTGATAGCTGTTTTTCAGAGGCTTCATACGGTACTTATTTTTTTGTTGTTTTATCTAAAAGTAAATGAATTTAAAAAAAATCATTAATCGAACTTTAATCAAATGAAGTTTCATTTTCAAATATATAAAGGAGACAAATATTTGAAAAAAAATGTTCAACTGTTTTTAGTACATTAGTCATTATATACGAAAAATTACCAGAAAGCCCACTTTTGTCATGATTGTATATTATAATTGCTTATTTATTTGTATTACATACAACTATAATTAAATTCGATATTCTATGCTCCCTTTTTAATATAGATTAGACCGTTGGTTTTCCCGTTTGAATGGTTTTTCACTAGTAATTTTTGGGGCCCCTTATAGCTTACTGTTCGGTGTGAGCCAAGGCTCCGTGTTGAAGTCCGTACTGTGACCTATAATGGTTTCCTTTTGTAAATTTTGACTTGGATGGAGAGTTGTCTCATTGGCACTCATACCACATCTTCTTATATCTATCAAAAGCCTTAATATACGAATAATTCCCGAAACTTAAGTTGAAATGTTATTATTTTCGTATGTGTTAATTAAGAGCAAAAGATATAATTTTGTCAGACAAAAAACGATGATTTGTACAAATTGAAATAGCTAAGAAAATGTTCTTTTACCAAATGATGTGAAAATTATAACATTTGTAATACTTAATGCTTCATAATCTTATCTTTAACGACTTCTCGTCCTGAATATGCATGAAATATTTGCCACTGAGTGTTAAGCAACCAACAATCAATCGATCAAATATTGCACTGAAAAATGAAATAAACAATAAAAGCAACAATGTTATCCATCACCTGTTGTCTGTCGTCTATTTGAACAGTAAATATACTTTGTTTTGTCCAGAAATATATTCCTTGAGGTAAGTCTAGGGTTCCTTTTTCTGCCCTTGGTCTTTTTATGGTAAATATATCTAATGTCTGGTTATTTTCTTATGAAAATAATGAATTTTTCATATTTTTAAAGATAATAGTGTAATCAATTATGTAATTTGACACGTTTCTAACGGTTCACTGATTTTCGGCTACATCAAAGAAAAACCGGCACGTGTCTAAACATTGTCCATTTACTCATTTATTTGTGATTCTTTTTCTATAAGAATTTGAATTTATGCATTAAATATCAATCTCTATCATAATATGAAAACATTAAATACATGTAACAGCACCCCTTCTAGTCCTTAGTGGCATACTATAAGTCCTTAGTGCACTAAGGAGTCCTTAGCAGTGTTTAGACGCACCCATGTATGACCTCTAGATATATTTCTAGTTACTAGTATATGTTAATTGGTTGCTAATTCATTGCATATTGCTCACATAATCTTTTCCTTTAATATATAAAATACTGTCAAAAAAGAAGACTGGAATTTCTTTTGAATTGATATATACATGTTTTTTTATGAATGATCAATTATACATGATAATGGCTTTTGAATTCATTTGTAGTAAATGACTATGAATTTTCATGTCTCGTAATTCTTGTATAAATGAGAGTTTGGATGGAGGTCCTTATTATTTATCCTTTTAGGAGGATAGAGTAACGCGCATATCTTAGGGGTATTCAGAATAGAGAATAATATGAAGAACAAAGAAAAATGGACAAAAAACGAATAGAGAATAATGGGCAAAAGAAATAAAAAATAGAGAAAATGGTCTGGATATTTAAGAATTAAGACATAAAGGACCCCAAGTCCACATCCTCACAAATCGTCAGAGGTGATTTTGCAATGTAAATTTAATCGAGAAAGAGCGTAGTGCATATATATAACAGTCGTCCTTTTTAAGGACCTTGTTGATGAAATGTCGTTAGCACAACTGATGAAATCGTTATGTACACATAGTTTTCACCTTGTAAAGGACGATAAAATACGTATATAAATATAAACGAAAACTTATCTTTGTCAAATAAGGTTATTTGCATACCTTGACATCAAAACTATTTTAATTTTTATCAACAGTGTTCATATCGATCATACAAAATGGATATTTTAGGACTGATAGACATAAACGGATGGATTTTGGCTGTGATTTTTCTTTGTCTTACAATTATTAATATATTCTTGTAAGTTAAATTTGAATTTTTTCATTTATTTTTATAGAATTTAACCTTGACACATAAGGGTACACAGAGACACATTATGTATAATTTTTTTTAAGTTAAATCCAATTTCCGGACACCTCGAATGAAACAGTTGCAAGAATATAAATTAGGCGAATATCTAAACTATCTGATCTTACACAATTTTAACGTATCTATACATCGTCAACGAAGTCAATTTCAACCGTGGTCTAGAAATTGACACGATGCTACATGTACAATCAGAAAAAAAATGGTTACGGTGTTCCAATCTTAAAGGCTTTTGCATGTATTCATAAGTTATATTTGACGGGTCCAAATTTATCTTTGCCTCCATACATGGCATCTACTGATTTGCGAATGTGACTACCAACATTTCACGCGGCACATCCAAGCTTTTCCACTTTCACTTTTCACTTCCAATTTTGTTTCCCTCTTTTCCCCAGGTCTCACTTTTATTTGTCTCTTATATCCCACATCCCCTTTGTTCACCCCTATATCCGTCATCCCTAATTTTTACCCTCTTTATACCACATCCAAAAACGTGTCGCCCCCTAATATGTGATTTTGTTATAATTATAACATTAACGAGTAAGCGACTCACGATAAATCCGAATCGTAACAACATTGAAAGTGAAAAGTTTGAAGCTGTACAGTATATTTCAATAGACAAATCTTCAACATGTATCAATTGTTTTTTGTGCATTCATCTAAGTTTGATAAAACAAAAATGAAATTATCATATACGCATCCATTAATGATGACTATTATAAACGACGCGAGATATGTCTTCAGTGAATCCTTAAACTTTGAAATTTTCAAAATACTAAGAATTTTCTGCCCCATGACTAGGTAACCTTACATGTAGATGTCTATGGCAAAACTTTTAAGAATTTTGGGTCATCAGTGTTCTTCCACTTCGTACTTTATTTGGTCATTTTTAAATTCTTTGATTCGAGCGTCACTGATGAATCTTTTGTGGACGAAACACGCGTCTGGCGTACAAAATGTTAATCCTGGTATCTATGAGGGTTATTTTCTAAATGAGACCTGCTCCATTATTATGTTTCAATCTCTACCAAATATTCCTTCCTTTCTGATTGGTAGTCTAAATTTTTCCATTCTCTTATCCTGTCGCCCAAATTTGCAATATTTGTTTTTTTTTGAAGTATTGTTTAAGATGCTCGTCAAAAATAAGCCTTAAATGTGTGCGTTACTCAATCAATGTATGAGCGCCATGCAATGCTTTAACCTTAGATCTAAACTTCATGTCGTTTGTCTTTTTGGATAGTTTTTTTTTAGATGTGTGTCTATCTAGGTAGCAGAGCCCTTTCCAACTTATCTTACTGATTTTTATGTTCTGCTGTTACATGTACACCAGTATCCAATGTTTGCAGGATTTTTGATGCTTATAAACATGTGTAAGGGCACCATATTATTGATGTGCCTGTTCCACATCTGGATTTTTTAACTCAGTGGTTTAATGGGTCGCTTTCTGTCATATAAGTTTTTTGTTTATTTTCTTTGCTGTTCGGCGTGAGCCAAGGCTCCGTGTTGAAGCCTGTACTTTGACCTATAATGATTTACTTTTACAAATTGTGACTTGGATGAAGAGTTGTCTCATTGGCACTCATACCACATCTTCTTAATATATCTATATAACACTATTGATTCTCTAGTTTGAATGGTAACACAGAATCACTTATAGCTTATCATTCGGTATTAGTTTTGATAACTGTTGGAGGCCGTAAACTGACCAAAAAAGCTGTAAACAGCGACGACCGTTGGTGTCTGGTGGATAGGTGTCTTTTTTGCAATTATACCACGTCTCCTTATTTTTATATTCGAAGCCCATTAAATAACCCGAAAGTGTGCGATTTTTCTCATTGTCTACACATTCTATTGAAAAAGTAAGACATTTGAAAATACCTAGAGAAAAAAACACTATGCCCATCCTGTAATACATTGGAGGATGAAGTTCATTTTATTTTATACTGTAAAAAAAATTCTAAACTAAGAGATAACTTTTTTGGAAATAAAGTTCAACACATGCCAGATTTTATGTCCTGGGAAGATATGAGAAAATTAAATATCTTCTTTGCCCATCAACCTAAAAAGAAGTAGAAAGATTAGGGGCATTAGAACTGAGGACAGGGGACTCTTGATTTATTTATACAAATATATATAAATAGATTGTTTTGCTTTTTTACTTGTGTATGATTTATGAGATATGTTGTCATATGGTTTTGTTTTTACTTGTGTATGTTTTATGAGATATGTTGTCCTATGGTTTTGTTTTTTACTTGTGTATGTTTTATGAGATATGTTGTCCTATGGTTTTGTTTTTTACTTGTGTATGATTTATGAGATATGTTGTCCTATGGTTTTGTTTTTTACTTGTGTATGTTTTATGAGATATGTTGTCCTATGGTTTTGTTTTTTACTTGTGTATGTTTTATGCGATATGTTGTCCTATGGTTTTGTTTTTTACTTGTGTATGTTGTATGAGATATGTTGTCCTATGGTTTTGTTTTTTACTTGTGTATGATTTATGAGATATGTTGTCCTATGGTTTTGTTTTTTACTTGTGTATGTTGTATGAGATATGTTGTCCTATGGTTTAGTTTTTTACTTGTGTATGTTTTATGAGATATGTTGTCCTATGGTTTTGTTTTTACTTGTGTATGTTTTATGAGATATGTTGTCCTATGGTTTTGTTTTTACTTGTGTATGTTTTATGAGATATGTTGTCCTATGGTTTTGTTTTTACTTGTGTATGTTGTATGAGATATGTTGTCCTATGGTTTTGTTTTTTACTTGTGTATGTTTTATGAGATATGTTGTCCTATGGTTTTGTTTTTACTTGTGTATGTTTTATGAGATATGTTGTCCTATGGTTTTGTTTTTACTTGTGTATGTTTTATGAGATATGTTGTCTTATGGTTTTGTTTTTACTTGTGTATGTTTTATGAGATATGTTGTCCTAGAAAATAAATTTCCATGATCACGGATCACGAAAATATAAAAAAAAAAAAATCTGTAAAAAAACGGATCACGATGGCGAAAATGCGCCGATCACGAAGAACGAAAATAACCCATCAGGCCCCTCATTGGCACAAACAAATTTATATATGTTTAGAGTTTATATGACAATAAATATTTGAATTGAATTGAATAAAAACACGCAAGAACAAAAATTAATATGTTGGTGAAAGATTCTACTTTTTTGGAAATAAAGTTCAACACATGCCAGATTTTATGTCCTGGGAAGATATGAGAAAATTAAATATCTTCTTTGCCCATCAACCTAAAAAGAAGTAGAAAGATTAGGGGCATTAGAACTGAGGACAGGGGACTCTTGATTTATTTATACAAATATATATAAATAGATTGTTTTGCTTTTTTACTTGTGTATGATTTATGAGATATGTTGTCATATGGTTTTGTTTTTACTTGTGTATGTTTTATGAGATATGTTGTCCTATGGTTTTGTTTTTTACTTGTGTATGTTTTATGAGATATGTTGTCCTATGGTTTTGTTTTTTACTTGTGTATGATTTATGAGATATGTTGTCCTATGGTTTTGTTTTTTACTTGTGTATGTTTTATGAGATATGTTGTCCTATGGTTTTGTTTTTTACTTGTGTATGTTTTATGCGATATGTTGTCCTATGGTTTTGTTTTTTACTTGTGTATGTTGTATGAGATATGTTGTCCTATGGTTTTGTTTTTTACTTGTGTATGATTTATGAGATATGTTGTCCTATGGTTTTGTTTTTTACTTGTGTATGTTGTATGAGATATGTTGTCCTATGGTTTAGTTTTTTACTTGTGTATGTTTTATGAGATATGTTGTCCTATGGTTTTGTTTTTACTTGTGTATGTTTTATGAGATATGTTGTCCTATGGTTTTGTTTTTACTTGTGTATGTTTTATGAGATATGTTGTCCTATGGTTTTGTTTTTACTTGTGTATGTTGTATGAGATATGTTGTCCTATGGTTTTGTTTTTTACTTGTGTATGTTTTATGAGATATGTTGTCCTATGGTTTTGTTTTTACTTGTGTATGTTTTATGAGATATGTTGTCCTATGGTTTTGTTTTTACTTGTGTATGTTTTATGAGATATGTTGTCTTATGGTTTTGTTTTTACTTGTGTATGTTTTATGAGATATGTTGTCCTAGAAAATAAATTTCCATGATCACGGATCACGAAAATATAAAAAAAAAAAAATCTGTAAAAAAACGGATCACGATGGCGAAAATGCGCCGATCACGAAGAACGAAAATAACCCATCAGGCCCCTCATTGGCACAAACAAATTTATATATGTTTAGAGTTTATATGACAATAAATATTTGAATTGAATTGAATAAAAACACGCAAGAACAAAAATTAATATGTTGGTGAAAGATTCTACAAAGAAAAGTGCAGACGCCTTTGTATTAATTGTACGGTTTAAAAGAATAACGTTCACAATGTAATTTTTTTAAAGAAAATTATTCAACTATTTTTAGAATATTACCTAGAATGCATTTTTTATTTCAGCCATTTCAGATCTAAGCATACAGTATGGAGTCGAGCAGGAGTTCCAGGTCCAAAATCGAAACCGTTTGTCGGAATAACTCCATTGTATAGAGCTAAAGTAAGACAACTTAGCCATATCGTTCTTTAAAAAAAACCCAAATAAAAAAAAAAAAAAAACCTTGAAATATTTGCCACTGGACGTATAACAAACATTGATTAATCGACTTGATAACGTTTCTAGAATTATGATTAAACCTCTGCATGAATTTCGCCGTTTCAGAATCTGGAGGACTATCATAGGGTAATCTCATTGGTCGTACTCCAAAATGAAAGCAACGTCATGTCGTTGCATGGTTGAATTTCAATTGTTTTGGACGTTGAAAACCAATTACAGCGTTTGTATATACGCTTTGGAGAATATTACCCAAAATGCATTAGATTCTGAAAAGGCGAGTTGCCTTAATTGTAGTCTCGATAACCCAGATGCATATATAAATATAGCTATACTTTGAAAAATAAAGCGGCTGGATAATTAAGACTACCTTAATTGTGACAATGATGTCTGGTTCTTATCTGTCCTGAGTCTTTAAGGGGAATCCCATTCCATCTCTGTCTGTATTTTACTTATCTTAATTGTCTTAGAGAGTATACGTATACAGGGTGACATGTGTTCAAATAATTTACACGTACTCACGAAAAAGGTTTTTTAAAGCTTTAATTAATTTGATAAGAGATTTTATTAGATTGGAATATTTGGGCATTTACTGGTAACTGTTATAGGCAACATTTTCTGTTAAATATTATTTTGATTCATTATTATTTTCTTTTTATCTCTTCCGTCTTATAATCTCATACCTAATATTTGTTTGAACTAATTAAGGAGTGACTGTTATATTTTTTCTCTCTATGAAGAATAACATCAAAAATGTGATGCACACTGAATAACCCGCGTAGTGTACCACATTTTTGATGTTATTTCTTCTTATACGTAGACAGAAAAAAAAATTACAGTCAGACATTCCTTATGTTATAATTCTAAATTCCATTTTTAAGGAGTAAATCATGAAAAACATTGATTACGTCACGTTCACATGACAAAATTACGTATATGAGCTGATAGACATAAATCTTTCAATCAATCAAAAGACGTGTTACATTCGAAATTATTAATTATTTTTTAGGGAATGATACAAACTGATCTGGACCTAGTGAAGAAGTACGGCAGATGTTTTGGGTAAGTTAAATCAAACAGACCAGGACCTAGTGAAGAAGTACGGCAAATGTTTTGGGTAAGTTCAATTAAACATACCAGGACCTAGTGAAGCAGTATGGCAGATGTTTTGGGTAAGTTAAATCAAACAGACCTGGACCTAGTGAAGCAGTACGGCAAATGTTTTGGGTAAGTTAAATCAAACAGATCAGGACCTAGTGAAGAAGTACGGCAAATGTTTTGGGTAAGTTAAATCAAACAGACCAGGACCTAGTGAAGAAGTACGGCAGATGTTTTGGGTAAGTTAAAGCAAACAGACCAGGCTTTGGTGAAGAAGTACGGCAGATGTTTTAGGTAAGTTAAATCAAACAGACCAGGCTTTGGTGAAGAAGTACGGCAGATGTTTTAGGTAAGTTAAATCAAACAGACCAGGCCTTGGTGAAGAAGTACGGAAGATGTTTTGGGTAAGTTAAATCAAACAGACCAGGCTTTGGTGAAGAAGTACGGCAGATGTTTTAGGTAAGTTAAATCAAACAGACCAGGCTTTGGTGAAGAAGTACGGCAGATGTTTTAGGTAAGTTAAATCAAACAGACCATGCCTTGGTGAAGAAGTACGGCAGATGTTTTGGGTAAGTTAAATCAAGCAGACCTGGACCTAGTGAAGAAGTACGGAAGATGTTATGGGTAAGTTAAATCAAACAGACCAGTACCTAGCGAAGAAGAACGGCAGCTGTTTTTGGTAAGTTAACTCAAACAGACCCGGACCTAGTGAAGAAGTACGGCATATGTTTTGGGTAGGTTATATCAAACAGACCTGGACCTAGTGAAGAAAAACGGCAGATGTTTTTGGTAAGTTAACTCAAACAGACCCGGACCTAGTGAAGAAGTACGGCAAATGTTTTGGGTAAGTTCAATCAAACATACCAGGACCTAGTGAAGAAATACGGCAAATGTTTTTGTTAAGTTAAATCAAACAGACCTTGACCTAGTGAAGAAGTACGGCAGATGTTTGGGTAAGTTAAATCAAACAGACCTTGACCTAGTGAAGAAAAACGGCAGATGTTTTTGGTAAGTTAACTCAAACAGACCCGGACCTAGTGAAGAAGTACGGCAGATGTTTTTGGTAAGACTAATCAAACAGACCTGGACCTAGTGAAGAAGTATTGCAGATGTTTTGGGTAAGTTAAATCGAACAGACCGGACCTAGTGAATAAGTACGGATGATGTTTTGGGTAAGTTAAATCAAACAGACCCGGACCTAGTGAAAAGTACGGAAGATGTTTTGGGCAAGTTAAATTTAAAATACCCAGATCTAGTGGAGAAGTACGGCAGATGTTTTGGGTAAGTTAAATCAAACAGACCTGGACCTAGTGAAGAAGTACGGCAGATGTTTTGGGTAAGTTAAAGCAAACAGACCCGGACCTAGTGAAGCAGTACGGCAGATGTTTTGGGTAAGTTAAAGCAAGCAGACCTGGACCTAGTGCAGAAGTACGGCAGATGTTTTGGAAAAGACTAATCACACAGACCTGGACCTAGTGAAGAAGTATTGCAGATGTTTTGGGTAAATTAAATCAAACAGACCGGACCAAATGAAGAAGTACGGATGATGTTTTGGGTAAGTTAAATCAAACAGACCCGGACCTTGTGAAGAAGTACGGAAGATGTTTTGGGTAAGTTAAATCAAACAGACCCGGACCTAGTGAAGAAGTACGGAAGATGTTTTGGGTAAGTGAAATCAAACAGACCCGGACCTAGTGAAGAAGTATGGCAGATGTTTTGAGTAAGACTAGTCAAACAGACCTGGACCTAGTGAAGTAAATGGCAGATACTTTGGGTAAGTTAAATCAAACAGACCAAGACCTAGTGAAGAAGTACGGCAAATGTTTTGGGTAAGTTAAATCAAACAGACCTGGACCTAGTGAAGCAGTACGGCAGATGTTTTGGTTAAGTTGAATCAAACAGACCTGGACCTAGTGAAGAAGTACGGCAGGTGTTTTGGGTAAGTTAAATCAAACAGACCTTGACCTAGTGAAGAAGTACGGCAGATGTTTTTGGTAAGTTAAATCAAACAGACCTGGACCTAGTGAAGAAGTACGGCAGATGTTTTGGGTAAGACTAATCAAACAGACCTGGACCAAGTGAAGAAAAACGGCAGATATTTTGGGTAAGTTAAATTAAACAGACCTTGACCTAGTGAAGAAGTACGGTAGATGTTTTGGGTTAGTTAAATCAAACAGATCAGGACCTAGTGAAGAAAAACGGCAGATATTTTGGATAAGTTAATTTCATCTTATATCTCACTGATAATTTATGCACGTTATTTTTCTTCGTTTAAATTAAAATTAACTAATTATAGTTATTGACCAAGCAAGTCGGTATATATCATTTAATCTGCACGGCCCGGCTAACTCTAATTAACCCGAACGACGTAGGAATTCGGGTTAAAGGGTCATCCCGACCGTGCAGATTAAATGATGTATACCGATTTGATTGGCCAATAACTATATGCCATCAATTTACGTGAACATTTTGGAAATATGCGGACGATATTCCGCAATCCACGGCTCCTAGGAAAGTTTCTTGTAGGATAAAGAAAGGGGGGGAAATACGCTTTTTATGTAGTTAAAATTTGGTAAGTATTAGATTATTAACTTTTTTCATATTTAGGCTTCTTCCTAAATTGTAAAATTTTTTTTTACATTATTTGGAGAATGGCGATTTAATAGTACAACTTTAGTTCCGTTTGGTTACTTTTAAATCGGGGTATGAAAAATCATAACTAAAATGGTTATTGTGTATAGATTAATTGTCTTTCTTTACTTCAATAATATGCTTAGAGGAAGATGGACCGATGAGAGATGTACAAAGGCACTTGTTTCTATCCATGGGAAGGTCTACTCTCCATATGTAATACATATAAATAGTCGACCTTCCCACGTGGAGATGTACCTAAATTAAAAAATATTAAGTAAACAGAAAATAAATGTTCACCTATCAATCTTTAACTTCCCCCCCCCCCCCCCCCCCCCTCCAATTTTTTTTTCTACTGTGTTAATTTTTGAAGACATGTCGCACCTAAACAAAATCTGATTGATCTGCAGCTTATCCCCCCCCCCCCCCCCACCCCCCCACCCCAACCGCTGTTTTGATACAAACTTAAATATGATCCTCATTAAATTCGATCCCAAAATAGTCACTTAAAAGGCATACATATCTAAATAGTCGTAATAAATTCCATTGAGCACGAAACTAATCCAAATCAGATTTTATTTATTTGGATATTCTAAAATACATTTCTTTTTTGGCAGAAATTACAAAAAAATAATTATTATCTGGTTTGAATGTGAAACATTGATTTCAGATTTACATTGTACACAAAATATTATAAAATATTTTATGTCCCACCCTTTGATTGGAAAACATTATGTTTAAGCATAAAATTGTCAAAAAATGTTTTAGTCTCGCTACACTCGGTGATATCTTTTGAATTTTAAGGAATTACACCCCTTTCAAAATCCAGGGTCCGCCCCTAAAGGTAAGAGTACATTTGAACTGTGCAGTATATCTGAGGTAGTTTATGCACATCTTTGCCGTGCATTATCCAGAGTATAGCACAGTTAGAACAAAGTGATTTTACCCATGTCATGTGTTAATAATCTTTATAGCACTCTATATGCCACTGATTCATAATATTTAAGGCTATCACACAATGTGGCCTAAGAGAGAGCTACTCGATAGGGTTTATGGTTTTCTTGTTTAAAATAATGCAGATATCTTACTTTAATGCTTAGATAGAAATCGATTATGCATTGAAAGAAAAATGATTAGTGTTGTCTTTACAGAAGTTCTTACCGCATGTGTCAAACATTACGTGCTTGTTTGATTTGTACTGATATTGTTTTTTTTTATCCTGCAATCGACCTCTCTACTATACTAATACAGGTGTACAGATTACGCTAACGTACTGTATACCAGACGGATACAGTCTCCTGGCGTCCTGCTTTTGTTGCGAGCGAACGGTTATGTCAAATTAATGTTTACGTTACAGGTCAATTTTGGGTCCTCATCGCGGTCCGCGTTTAAGTCATGTCGATTTCTTTCAAAAACAAATTGAAACGATTGGGATGGAAAAAAATGTACAAAATTCTTTGCAGGATAAAGACAATAACGTTATAGTGTCTTTAAATATCAGCTGTATTTGTACTCGGCTCGAAACAGGAGTAATAGCTCGCTTAAGCTCGCATTACACCTGTTTCTTAGCCTCGTACAAATACAGATGATATTTAAAGACACTATACAGTTATTTTCTATTTATTTAGGATATATCAAGGCCTGGTGCCAACGTTAGTGATCTCTGACCCAGAAACAATAAAGGAAGTTATGGTTAAAGATTTCTCTAATTGCCCTAACAGACGTGTAAGTATGAATGAATGTAGTTTGTTAATTTACAGCGCGTTTGAAAATACTATTTGAAGTCAATCATCTTACTAAAGATCAATTTAAAAAGATTGGTCTCTTCTATCGTCGTTCTTACAGAGATATTGAACTGAAATCATACAATACGATTTGATTGGTGCATATTTCATTATAACTGTCGAACAATATAAACTCATCAGTATATCTAAAAAATGTATGTCGCTAGACACAGATTGTTCTCTTCCGTCTTCGTTCTTCACTGAGAGATAGAACCAACATCTGCCTTAATTGGTGCATAAAATTATGTTGTTATAACTATCGAACAGTAGAAACTTGTCAGTATAAATACCAAATATAACAGGACAGCTACCATAACATGTATCCAACATACATTTTATATTAAGTGCTCTTTGAAATAAATTGCTAAACAATACCATTAAAATTTAAACGCGATAGTTACACCTTTATTGATTCACATACGCATTCCCTTATATTATATACATCTTACATGTATCATGAAATACTTCTTTTAAACTGAGTTTAACTGCGTATTGTTGTGTGTTTTTTTTATTCTACATTGACTAGAGGTAAAGGGGGAGGGTTGTGATCTCTCAAAACATGTTTAACCCGCCGCATTTTTGCGCCTGTCCCAAGTCAGGAGCCTCTGTCTTTGTGGCCTTTGTTAGTCGTGTATGTTTTTTTTTAATTTTAGTTCATTTATATGTTTTGGAGTTAAGTATGACGTCCATTTTCACTGAACAAGTACACATTTTTATTTAGGGGCCAGCTGAGGCGCACCTCCGGATGCGGGATTTCTCGCTGCGTTGAAGACCAATTGGTGGCCTTCGGCTGTTATCTGCTCTTAGGTCGGGTTGTTGTCTCTTTGACATATTCCCTATTTCCATTCTCAATTTTATTCAATACTTTCTTTTAATTATTCGGGTACGCTAGTTACATGAACGTGTAAATATTTAGTTACATGTAAGGTTGGAAGTTTTCCTTTTAACATCCGATGGAGTAGATATTTCTTTACCTACCAAAGCACCTGAGTGTCAGTCCACGATTCTTAGTTGCATTACCTTTTAAAAGGTTTCTTTATTACAATAGCGTTTTGTGGACTGAAGTTATTTTTGTACTTTGCTTGCTCTTTTATGAGGGTGTGGATGGGGGTTAACAGAATAGAGAATAATGGGCAAAATATATTAAGAATAGAGAAAATGGACCATAACAAAAGAATAGAGAATAATGAGGTGTTAAAATATAATGAAAAGAGAATAATGGGAACAAAAAGTTAAAAGAAGAGAGAAAAATGGCAGAAAAATTTAAAGAATATAGAAATGCTGGACCCCCATTCAGAACCTTTTTCATAATTCCTCGTAAAAATATCTTATTACAGAATGTTCTTGCGTCCAGAAATGAACTGAAACACTCATTGATAAATCTACGAGACGATCATTGGAGGTTTATTAGAAATACATTACTTCCTACGTTTTCCTCTGGCAAGATGAGAGCGGTATGTACAATCTGGATGCTTTATTGTTGTTTCTATAATTGCTTGTTGTTTTTTAGCCGATGAACTACGTGTTTATATTGTAATCATCTGTACATATCACGTATGTTCAGGTCCATTTCAGCCATGATATTACTATGTAACTATAAACATTTGTCCATAACACGTATGTTAACGTCCATTGCAGCTAAACACTCTCAGCACAATAGTTACTTCCGAGCAGGAATACATTATGACCGTGTAACTATAAACATTTGTCCATACCACGTATGTTCACGTCCATTACAGCCATTGACACACTCTCACCACACTAGTTAGCTCCGAGCAGGAATAGATTATGACTGTGTAACTATAATTATCTTACCTCCTATACATTTCTAGGAATATGATTGGTTAAAAGCAACCGCGTGGAGACCGTGTATATTCCATATTAGGTTAGTAGGGAGTCGGGGCTTATTTCAATACACCATTAGTAGTGGTGTAACGTCCCTTTATAAAACAACACGATGTTGAACAATCTTTTTAGGTTTCAACAGACAATGCAATCAGGATGATGAACGATTGAAATAAATTAATAAAACACATTTTAAGCTAACAAGTTGTTATTTTTGGCATTTGTTTTTGTGGAGACCAATGGAAGTAGGTTCTTAATACTAACGATATTGAAGAGTTGATCACTTTTGTATGCCCCTAGTCTAAATACCACATGTTAAGATAGTTGGTAAGATAAATTCGTTACATAGTGTTCCATATGAAATTTACTGACCCCATATATATCGTATTTTGTCACTAGCATACTATGTAACTAATAACATTTCTCCATATCCCGTATGTGCACGTTCATTGCAGCCAAACAGACACCCTATCAGCACAATAGTTACTTCCGAGCTGGAAAACATTGTGACTGTGTGTAAATATAAACATTTGTCCATATCACGTATGTTCACGTCCATTGCAGCCAAACAGACAACCTCTCAGTACAATAGTAACCTCTGAGCAGGAATACATTATGACTGTGTAACTATAAATATGTGTCCATACCACAAATGTTAACGTGCATTGCAGCCAAGCAGACACCCTCTCAGCACTATAGTTATCTCCGAGCAGGAATGCATTATGACTATGCTACTATAATTTCCAATATGTCTTAGCAAATTCGAGGTAGGGCCTAACTGGGGTTATAACCATCTTTTCCTCACCAAAGCAAATCCTCGGTTCGGTGTTTAACATGACTTTCATGATTATAAGTTATCAAGAATAAAACATTATATTTTCAGCTGAACTCTATCTTTAAACGTTCATATGAATCATTACTGGAAAACCTGAAACCGAAAGCAAAGGCCGGAGAACCAATAGAATTCAAACAGTAAGGAATGTATTATTTTTTCAAAAGGTAAAACAGCACAACAGTTGCCAAATGTTGCTATGAAAAAATACAATAGTTTATGTTGCTACAACTACTAATACAACTTCCATCATTACAACAACTTCTGTTATACTACTATGAGGGACTGGGAGGAGTTTACACTATAATAAGCAAAAAGTGCAAAATAAAGGGGGAAAAAATAGAGAAAAACAGACTAGAAATACAAAGAAATAGAAAATAATTGGGTGCTTAAATATTAAGAAGAGAGAACAAAATGGCAAAAAATCTAAAATGGCTTAAAACATTGAAGAATACAGAATTGAAGGACCCCCACCCAGACCCTATACCTTAACTTCACAGAAATAACACCAGTGATCCCTGGTGCTCCGGGAGGTTTAGAAGAATATCCCGCTTCAAATAATTAAATTTGTCGTGATGTGACAACCATTGAAAACAGGATTGAAATGTGGCTTCGACAATTTTGACATATCCGTTGTCATCTATTACACAGCCATTCAATAACGATCAATCAATTCATGATAGCGTCCGTAAAACTTAAGCAGTAACTGATCCTGTAACTAACTTTATCAACTAATTCTTTTTAAATAGCAAGAGTATTGGTCGATCGAGGTTTTAACTAAGCAAAATAATTGGTTAGCCTAAAAAGAAAGTTAGTTTAACGGAGCCTCGTTTTCACTTTTCAGGGTTTTTGGAGCGTATACTATGGATATCATAGCCTCAGCTGGGTTTGGTCTTGACGTAGATTCACAGAAAAATCCAGAGAACAAATTTACCAAATATGCAAAAATGCTGTTCGATTTTAAATTTTCAAGGTTGATTATCTTGATAAGTAAGCCTTTTCTTTAACTATGAATGTACTAGAAAACGGTATTATATACTAACGAGACAGCTATTCAGCGACTATAGACTTTTTTCATATAACCGACTATTGACTCCGGGGGGGATTGGTGTATAGAAAACATAAAGTTGTTAATTTCAACTCCAAATTGTACCGATTTTATTAGTTTGATTTTACTTCTTTAAGTTGCTCTCACTTGGCCGAGTACCCGGATGTCGTACAACAGTTCGGGTACCTGTCGAAAAAATATTTATCTTACTGTTAGAACATGTAGCGAAACTTAACGGATACATACAAATAGTTGCTATATAAAGTTGAGATCAGATTAAACATTATCAATGGTATTTTTAAAACACAATGTATTATAACATTGTATTTGCCAATTGTACGACTGTAAAATTGTTTTGTGTCAAGATGCAAAATCAAATGTATTAAAAGGAGTGGCAAAGATACCAAAGGGATATCAAAACTCATATTTCGAAAACAAACTGACAATGCCATGGCAAAAAAAAACGAAAAACGACGAAATGACAAACAACAGTACACAAAACACAACATTGAAAACTGAAGACTGAGCAATACGAAAACCGCGGGTAATCGCAGGTGCTGTGGAAGGGTATGCAGATCCTGTTCCACCAATGGAACCCGTCATGTTGTTTATTTAAGAACAAACAATGTGCACGTTGAGAAGCAATGTTGAGGGCAGTTTCTGATACTAGTTTTAACCTTTTGAGACTATGTGCTAATAATAACTTAGTATCTACAGCCTTCGTGATAAACCTTTGAGTCCACAAGCTCGAAGCTCAGTTTTTTGAAAATTTTAGTTGGATTCTGTTGGCTTGCAGAGAAGAATTTTACAAGCCTGAATGCAACTATACAAGCCAATGCCGTAGGACTTGTGGTTAAGCGTAAAGACTGTATCTAAACACCTTGATAAAATAAAGACGGATATTTTTTTAGTAAAAGAAACTATTGGAATTTCTGCACTATTATGACTTCCACGCACGTTGATTTTTAGTATTTAATTTCCATTTATTTCATATAGTATCTTAAGCAAATCATCTTTTGTAGTGGCCTTTCCAAGTGTTGACATCATCTTCAACTGGTTTAACATATCACCGAATAATAACCGTACTGTTATGGACTTTTTCAAATCTGTTGTTAAAACAGCTATTGGTATGCGGAAAGAAACGGACCAGGTTAGGAGTTTTAAAAAAAATAAGTCTAGCATAAACTATAAAAAATTAAAAAAAACCATTACACTTACACATGACAAAAAAATAAAACACTCAGCCCCCCCCCCCCCCCCCCCGTTTCTCTCTAAAAAAAAACAAGAAACAAACAAACAAAAATAAACAAAAACAAACAAAAACAAACTAAAAAACAAGCTTAATTCTGTCCATATTGAATTCCTCACAATTGCAAGTTGAACGGGAAAAATCTTATTATATTGTATGAGTAATGATTAGTAATTATGCATGGACGCCAAAGAAATCAATGCAGCAACGGTTAAGATATATATATGAAAGTTTTGCATTTAAAATATTATATATTTATATATACAATGTATATTTATCCTTAAGTTTCCAATATCTAAAAGCTTAAACTCATTATAGGGAGGAAAACCCTAATTATATGAATTTCCTATTATCTTTCGAATTCTATGCAACATGTGCTCCTGTTTGGCTAGCGAAAAGGGAAGTGAAACTTCTCAAACTTTTCGTCAATTTTGTTTAAAGTTTTCGACTTATAAACTATGGTTACCCTTCAAAACACTTTTTTTTAAATTGTGACACCGGTATAAGTAAAATTTTCTCCGAGTCTGAACTTTATATTCAAACAAAAAAATGTATAATACTTGTGTCTCCATGGTTTCAGAAACCAAAAGATCTGCTGCAGATGATGCTGAATGCGCATAACGACAAAGACGTGAATGACAACGAGGGTGTCCATCAGTATGAAAAGGATCCAGAAAAATGGAAGAAAAGAGGTATGTACAATTCATTTACGATATACAAATACATATATGAAAGTTCGAATTTGTCTTGTTAATGTTTGTTTGTTTGTTTTTTTGTGTGTTTGTTGGACGGGGTAATAATAATTATAAATATTAGAAAAAGTACATTCTAAATTTGATTAACAAAAACGCATATGATTCAACAGGATAGACTTCTTTGTTTGATATTGTTGAATTTTGTTTAACATTTAATCATCGTTAAAATCTTAACATTAAATTACCGTTTAAATTAACGATGATCGTGTTTGGGGGGGGGGTCCTTCATTTCTGTATTCTTTAATTTTTTAGGCCACTTTCCTCTATTCTTTATATTATAGCACCTCATTATTCTCTATTCTTTATTTTTTTGGTCCATTTTTTTGCCCATTATTCTGTATTCTGTATTCCCATCCACACCCTCTTGCCTTTGATAGCTCATTGGCACTCATACTACATCTTATATCTGTTCCGGACCATATGAGTATTTGGACCATACGCGTATGGTCATGACCATACAAGTATTATATTCGTTTGGTTGTTAACGGGCCGGACCATATGAATATGTAGACCATATAGGTATTTTTCTAATAAATTCTAGGTTTCGCAGGAACACACAGCTCATTCTCCGGACAAAAAAACGGCACAAGTTACTTATTAAATTTCTTTATCTTTTACATATATTGTATGCATTTTGGTGTATTTGTTATTTTATCTTACCTAGCGTCAATTAAAAGCGCCTTTTTCCTGGCTGTCGACTTTTTCGTCCGTAAGTGAAACCTCAGGCGTTTGAGATGTACCTTTTTTTTTTAAATTGATCTTTTTTTTAGTTGTTCAAATTATCATTCCAGAAACAAATTTCTTTTAATTTCTACTTATTTTCAATTTAATGATCATGTCTTCTTGCAACTGAATATATACAATCTTAATGTGATTGTAAGATCGTATCAGTAGGTGCAAGAACACATCAAATATCTAAAAACAAATTGAAATTTTAAGAAATTTTATTTTAATAAACACATTATTTCTTGTTTTTAATTAAAAATCACTTGTTTGATTAATCATGTAACATTTATTACCATATGATTGAATACGTCAAAATTTCATTTATGGAACTTATAATTATGCGACACCTTTTCAACGTTAACAATCATGGCATCCGTTAATTACCCGGACCATATGAGTATATACACATATGGTCATGACATACGCGTAAGGTCCAAATACTCCTATGGCCCGGAACATATCTATCTATACTATTAAACGAGAAGACCTCATTTTGTGTGTCGCTTCTCTTCCTTCCACAATAAATACATCATCATGCCTGTGTCCTATAGGTACCTTGCATAGTCGCATTTGTCATCCATTCTAATGATTATTCAGTTTGGGTTATTTGGGGAGAAAAATGAAAATAAAGACGTCCGAATATTGTTTCCGTCATCAGACCGACTTTTAAGTCATAGACAAGACGTCCGGTTTTAAACTTACAAATAATTTTCATAAGTCCTTGGGGACAGGACAATCATTTTCGCGTTTATCTGCATGTATACTATCATTATACTACTATATTATATAGAGACTCTCTATTGATTATAGCAGTGATGGCCGTGGAGAAGAAACTTGAAATTGATAGATAATAGTACATACACTTTATTTATGATATACGTATGTTCATAGTATACAGAAACGCGAAAATAATGGAACTCAACAGAAAAAAAAAATAACGGACTTTTGAAAAAAGAGAGAGGGCTTAAAAATATTGTCCTGTCTCCAAGTACCTATGATTTTTGATATCTTTTCTGAAATTGTCCAGACATAACAGTGGCGGATCCAGAAATTTTCATAAGGGTGGGGAAGGGGGGGGGGGCACTGACTGCTTAAGAGGGGTCCCGCTCCAGTCATGCATCATTGATTCCCTATATAATCAACAAATTTTTCCAACAAAAAGGGGGGGGGGGTGCGGGGTCCGAGCCCCCTGAAAAACCCTCTAAATCCGCCTCTGCATGTAATCTTTTACAAAAATTCATCCAATAACAGTTTACATACTTTCAACCAAGCTCTAAATGACCGCGATTTCGCGGGTGTGTTCTAGTATAATTTAATTTTTGATGTAACGCGTCATCTGATTGGCTGAAAGTGTTTTGTCTATCAGCTCATAGACATAATTTTGTCATGTGACCGTGACGTCACCAACCTTTTTTTTCAAAATTTACTCCTTAAAAACGGAATTTAGAATTAAATTATAAGGAATGACTGTAATAAATTTTCTGTCTATTCGAAATAACCTAAAAATTGTGGTGCACACTTTTAAATAACTCGCTACGCGGGTTATTCAGTATACACAACATTTTTTTATGTTATTTCTTCATAGACAGAAAAAATATTACAGTCATTCCTTAAATAGTATAGATTGTTCTCTCTATTGTACGGTGACAAATATAGTGTCTTATATCTACGTCATTTGTTCTTGGGTTGATAGTCGTCTCATTGGCAAATATACTATATCTTTTTACATATAAAAAAACCTACGAAATGAAGAAAAAAATCGAAAAAGAAACGTCTATCAGTGTTCAAAATATCAAATATACTATTGAATTTGCATTTTTAGAATTTAAAAGACTATGGCACATTGTTTGTACACCAAAACGAAAATAAAGTTACGTTGGTTGAATTTCCATTGTTTTAAAGGTTTTAACTCAATGACAACGTTTTGGCGTACGCTTTTGAAAATATTACCCAGAATGCATTAGATTCTGAACGGCGAACTGTAACGACAGTATAACAATGACTTTCCTTTGACTATACGCAATTGACTTTTGACAGGTTTATTCAGAATGTGCAGATAACACAGAAAAGATACCAATACAACAAATTGTAATAGTCCGTTAAAATTACCAAACTTGATTCACCGGGTTGTTACGAAGGCTACATTTATGGAAATAGGCAAAATGAAGTTTCGACAGATTTAAATAACATTTACAATTTTAAAAGGCTTTCCCAGAATCTAAGATCACGTGGTAAATAGATCAATACTCTTAAACAACAATGGATATCTGATAAGTGCTACTCAATATTCAAAAAATATATTAAGTCTTGTTATCTTATTGCAGGATTAACATTGGATGAAATTACTGGGAACTCCATTTTGTTTTTGTTAGTCGGATATGATACCACTGCCTCCGCACTAACATTTGTATCCTATTGCTTAGCAACAAATCCGGATTGCCAAGAGAAACTAATTAAAGAAAGAGACTCCGTTTTAGGAAAAGTAATACCATCTAATAAATGGTCTTTTTATTATGACATTATTATAGTTTGTTTGGACTCAAGTTAAGCTTTTACACTTTTTTCAGATATTGGAATTTTTTTTTTATTCATATGATACTTAAAATACAATATATTTAATGAATGAACCGAATTAATATGATATAAGCCTTCGAGCAAGAAACCCAGCAAAACATTAAACGAAAAGACATCTTAAAGTCAACGTTTGAAATAAGATGTATGTACCTGCCTCTTATTGAAGGTGAGAAGAAGAAAAACCTAAACACGTCCGCCTCATTTGTAACGTAAAGGTTCTTGAATAAGCCAAATAATATTGAATGGAAATAAAGGTGAGTTGTTACAGTATATCAATATCATATTTTTCAGGATTGTCCAAATTATGACAATATCCAGAAGATGGATTACCTGGATCGGGTATTCAGTGAAACATTGCGCCTATACGCACCAGGAGGAAGGTACGTAATCGGGTATTCAGTGAAACATTGCGCCTATACGCACCAGGAGGAAGGTACGTAAGCGGATATACAGTGACACATTACGCCTATACGTAACAGGAGGAAGGTACGTAATCGGGTATTCAGTGAAACATTGCGCCTTTACGCACCTGGCGGAAGGTACGTAATCGGGTCTTCAGTGAAACATTGCGCCTATACGCACCTGGCGGAAGGTACGTAATCGGGTCTTCAGTGAAACATTGCGCCTATACGCACCAGGAGGAAGGTACGTAAATTCCCTTACAAAGGCCCTCTTGAAAACAACAGGGAATCGACTGTCATAGTTCTCACATGGTACAAGCATGTTCAAATGTAGGTGCTTGAACTAGGTTTTACACCGGTCCCATCCTTCAACTTGCATGCTGAAATAGTCCGTTCCAATAATATATACATCTTTGAGTCTAATTGCCTTTTCAATAAGGATGTTGCTGTGTATTCGTACAGAAAATGTACACGTATCCCACTCACACAATTGGAGGCCATTCAGCAACAAACGCTTTGAATCTAGGTGGACTTAAAAAAATGAATATCCTTGCTTAGTTAGAGCTGAAAATAAACAGCCTTGCATAAGACAGGATAAAAGAATATTATGCAACACAAAATGCAGGAAACAATAGTGTACAAAAGGAAAAATAAATAAACAATCGTTGAAACAGATGAAAAGAAAAAGTCAATTTTCCTGCCCACCCCACGAGAGAATATCAAATGGTAGTCCCCTTATCCAGTCTGCAAAGTTAGTGGAGCTCTTATGGCAAGAGTACAACCATTCATTTATACTGCTAATTTAATTCACTTGATAGAAAAAGTTGTAAAACAAAAAGTTGCAAAAAGTGAAATAACAAAAATACCGAACTCCAAGGAAAATTCAAAATGGAAAATCACTTTTCAAATGCTAAAATCAAAAGCTCAAACACATCAAACGAATGGAAAACAACTCATATTCCTGACTTGGTACAGGCATTCCTCGTGTAGAAAATGCTGGATTAAACCTGGTTTTATAGCTAGCTAAACCTCATACTTGAATGACAGTCGCATAAAATTCCATTATGTTGGCAACAATGTGTGAACAAAACAAATAGTCGTATTAGATAAAAATGTCAAAAATAGGGATTGTGCTATAATCTTAATCACTATAGAAATAAATAACTATTTCAATGAAGAAAAACAAAAAGGCATATATATAGACACTCTATATACAAAGTACATAAACAAAAATGAAAGACAACAACACAAAAAATATCATAGCACAATAACACAATGGCGGGAAACATGTTTTTACACTAGTAATTTTTTGGGGCCCTTTATAGCTTGCTGTTCGATGTGAGCGAATGCACCGTGTTGAAGGCCGTACCTTGACCTATAATGGTTTACTTTTATAAATTGTAACTTGGATGGAGAGTTGTCTCATTGTCACTCATACCACATCTTCCTATATCTATTATGTCCCCGCTGCGACGGGGGCTTCAAGTGTTATACTTGTACGTCCCAAAAGTAGTTTCCGTTCTAACTATAGTTCGGCTCAACCAAATGTTATGAAACGTATACACAATGATTACTACTACAAAACACAGATCAAGTTCGAATTTGGGTTGCGTCACTTGTACTGTTCTTGAGTTATATGTAAGCGGGGCATCATGGACATATATATATAGTTTTCCTAATTTTTCTGTTGTGTTTATTTTTAGAACAGACAGACATGTTGAGAAAGAAATGATTGTTCATGGATATAAAATTCCCAAAAATGCAGAGATAATGATTCCTATACATGCAATTCACAGAGATCCGGAATTCTGGGAGGAACCTGAAAAATTTGACCCTGAAAGGTTAGTGATAGCTATGAATAAAAGTGTAGATACTCTGATAACAAAAAAGAGAATGTTCTGAGTTCTTAATGTTTTACATGGGTGAGGGTATGGATAGGGTTTACAGAATAGAGAATAATGGGCAAAAAGTGCAGAATAAAGGGCTAAACATATAAAGAATAGAGAGAAACAGGACAAAAAATAAAGAAAAGAGAATGATTGGATGTTTAAATATAAAGAATAGAGAAAAATGGGCAAAATGTGTAGAGAAAATTTTTTATAGAATACAGAATTGAAGAAGGACCCCCCATCTAGACCCTCATACATTTGTTTTAACACGAATTCACGTGATAACAAAATGCTTGTTTAATGATAAAGTAAGTCAAACACAACATATCTTTCAGATTTACACCAGAAAACAAAGCAAAGAGGCACCCTTACTGTTATTTACCGTTTGGCCATGGACCTCGAAGCTGTATTGGCATACGTCTGGCACAGGTAGAAGCCAAATATGCACTAGTGTACATACTGCAACATTACAGGTTCAAAACATGCGAAGAAACGGAGGTAAATAAATGATTAATTTGAGGAGGGGGGGGGGGGTCATTTTAGAACTTTATGTTGTTTTTTTTTATTATATTATAAAAGGTGAAATGCTTAAATTGTTTGCAATTCAGCTGAAAATATATGTTGGTTCATAAGCGGTGTAATTAATTTATTCCGACTATTATTATTGAGTCCCCGCTCCAAGACCAGTTACCTAAAGCTTGGTACACAAAATATACCAAGGTACCTCTAACCCGAATAATACAGTCGTTATATTCTGCTGCTCAACAATGGCTGCATTTACCTCGTGTTGGAGAAAATCGGACACGGAGAGAGATTGAACTATTCAAGTTAATGTACCTCACACTTCTGAATGTAGTATTTATCACGTTTATGTGACCATTTGTGTATGACATACCTGTCCATGAGATATTTGTTTTTAACATTTTGAGTGTAAAATAAAGAAATTTAACTTAAGAGTCCATCATGGATCTGAACGGGAAAATGAAATACCATGGCTGAAACAAACTATACTAGTTTCTTAGTTAACAAACTTCTCTGCCTTCTTCAATAGTTTTTGTTTTACAGGAGTGAATAATACTTTCAAAAATACTTAAGATATTATATGTTACCCGAAGTTGAGGGGCCTGATGGGTTATTTTCGTTCTTCGTGATCGGCGCATTTTCGCTATCGTGATCCGTTTTTCTAGATTTTTTTTTTTATATTTTCGTGATCCGTGATCATGGAAATTTATTTTCTGTGAATCGTGATTGACAAAAAAATCAACTCGTGAATCGTGATGAGACCCCCCCATCAGGCCCCTCCAAGTTATCTTTTATCTAAATTACTGTGGATTAATTATTCTTCGTGGGATACCACTTTTTTGTGGATATCGTGACTACAAGTTACCCATGAATTTAAATGCTAGTTTGCAGACTTTGGCAAAACCATGAAATCAAATCATACACGAAAATCTACAAAAATTGCTATCCAAAGAAAAGATGAATCTGCTTTATATGGAAAATTGTAGGTTATCTTTCGGTTTTTTGTTTATTTCAGATTCCCATACAACTGACGAAAGGCAGAATTACAAAACCCGCGAATGGCATGAAACTGAAACTGGAAAGTCGAGTGTAGCAAAAAACTAACTGCATACGATATAACTTGAGAGGATTGTGTGTCATTATACAAAGATTTTGAGACAGTATTTTAGCATTACCTTCGTTTTAATTAACAACTGTACGTAGTATTGCTGGATTAAAGTTTGCATAGTAAAAATATTCTCATCTTAGAATTTCTGTGTAAATTCTCAACAAGAAGCTGTCAGAGCGACAGCATACTGGATTTTTTAACATTTGCGTCCTGGCATTTTTAAATTATACCACAAGGACCATGACTCCTGAACGCTAAAGTGAAAATTTCATATTAAAATTTGAAAAGCTTTGGTTGAACGATTCATGAGTTAATGCACGGACACGACTGGAAAGACCGGCTTTCAATCTTTCAAGAACCATAACTCCTAAACGGTGAAAGTGAAAATCGTCAATATTGAACTTGACCTCCATTTTGTCATCAGTAACAACATATTAAAATTTGAAAAGATTTGGTTGAACGGTTCATGAGTATATTCACGGACACTGTTTGGCAGCCGCCCGCCCACCCGCCGTACATTCCCAAATCAATAACCGATATTTCCTTCGGAAAGTCGGTTAAAAACTGTGTTAAATTTAAACGATCGTTGTCTTTTTGTTCGTGTGGTTGGCATATTTATTCTTTTTTGTATTTAGCTGAATTTTGTCTCTGAATGACCATAGATCTGTCGCAGAATAGCATTTTAACGTCAAGAAACAATGAATTTTAAATTTTGTTTTATATTTCTGCAAGCAAAAGAACTCTTTTTTAAAAAGATGTTTCGAAGCCATATGTGTGTGAAAAAGTTGGTTTTTAATGGAAACTTTTAATGACCATTTACATGCATTATTGCACATTTAGGACTGAAATAAGGTTATTTGTTCCCAACATAAGTGATATAAAACTAGAGGCTCTATAGAGCCTGTGTCGGTCTCCTAAGTCTATGTGCATCTTCAACATTGTAGACTACTGTTTACAGTTTCTACCTATCTTATTATAATTGTCCAAAACACAAAAGAGGGTAACAAAATATCACCATTTAAGCGCTATCACTCCTATCTACTAACTTATTCGGTAGAAATTACCTGATTGAAGATCTTATCTGGCAGATAATTTTAGTTATTTAAAGTTGTTATTCATCTTGCATAGTTTTCAAGATAATAGGCAAACACGACAAAAATTGGTAAAAATCCTCCATTTTCGCTGAACTAGTACATTTTTGTTTAGGGTCCAGCTGAAGCCCACCTACGGATGCCGAATTTTCTCGCTGTGTTGAAGACCCATTGGTGTCCTTGAGCTGTTTTTCTGCTCTTTGGTTGGGTTGTTGTCTCTTTGACACGTTCCCTGTTTTCATTCTTAATTTATAAGAGAGCAATAACCAGTTAGAATTCGACCATAAGACTTATTTGTAGATCCTGCTCATCACTATTGTAGCTTTTAAGATGTGACGCAAAATGGCAAAAAAAGAGATAAAATTCGTCATTAAAGGGCAATAACTCTAATAAGAAGTCTGCCTAATTTGAAGATCTTGTCTTGCTGATCATTTTTGCAGTTTAAAGTTTCTCTCTGTCTATTATAGTTTTTAAGAAAATAGGCAAAAATGGACAAAAAAGTAGTAAAATTCGTCCTTATAGGGCAATAACCCCTATAAGAAGTCGTCTGACAGTTTTGACTAAAAGAGAAAATAGGTAGACCTCAACATTCTGAACATTTCTGCCCCCGTCAGATTTTCTCTATTCATTTCAAAATAATAGACAAAACTTACATTTACCCCTATGTTCTATCTTTAGTCATGTCGGCAATCTTGGTTGGCAGGTGAGGTCATCGGACACATTTTTTAAACTAGATGCCCCTATGATGATTGTGGCCAAGTTTGCTTAAATTTGGCTCGGTAGTTTCAGAGGAGATGATCTTTGTTAAAGTTAAAGGACGACAAACGACGACGACAAATGACGGACGCCAAGTGAGCTTCGGGCCAAGTGAACTAAAAAGTAAAAAGGAATTTCATCTTTATCACATAGTCCTTTATATGCAAAATGACAGTTAAAATATAACACTTTAAAATCACTTCAGAAAAAGAAATGTACTCAAATAAAATCATATATAGTTGTATCTAATAAATCAAACGGAAACTAATTTTGAGACGTACGGACGGACAGACAGAGGTAAAACTTAATACTCCGCTGCGGCAGGGGCATAAAAAAGTATTCAACACTAAAATCAGATTTAACAGAGAATCAAAGAAATTGTAATCATTCCATATGTTTTATCTACTGATCTATATGACCAAGACAAGCTATTGTAAAGCCCGTCAGGGTTTTGATTTCAATTAGACATACACCCTGGAAGCTCCTTTGTACTTGTTATTATATTCATATTCAATGATAAAATGATAAAGCAATTATAGTGTTTTGTATACAGTTTAATACAAAATCATGCTAAAAAGAAAAACAAAAATTAGAATGTATATCATAAACAATTGACATCGCTTACATGCTAACAACTTACTCTTCAAATGCAATAACCTAAACAACAAAAAATCACATGCACAGAATCAACCGCACAATTTGACAAAAGATTCATACTTTATTTTCTGATCTTTTCTCCATTCTGACATATATAAGTTCTTTCACTATTCAAGCAGAAGTGTGTGTTCATTGTCCTTTTCTCATTCATACATATGGCTTTCATTCTATAATTGTTTCTCATCTTTGCTCTCAAAGTGGAGAAGCTGATCCAAAGAATACTCCTGATGGCACAACTGTGACGTTCAGATATTGCTGAGGTTTAAATGATCCTACAACACCTCCTGTAAATACCTCCGTGATGCTATATCCACCAGGACTTGTTAGTCCGAGGTCTGAACATAATACCTTTACCTGAAAGGAAATGCAATGCGACATTACAGTTTTCATAGTCATGCATACGTTATAGAGAGAACAAGTGTGTACATTCAGTTGTCATGCATAAGAGTTCTCACACCAAAATGACCATTTTTTTCTTAGTTATGTTTCTCTTTTTTCGTGTTATATAATTCAGTAATCTCTGCATTTTGAATAATGATGTGATAGCATCAAGAATTTGAAAAAAAGCAGTCAAATTTCAACCCCTTCAATAGCAGCTCCTATTTCGTAAAGTTAGTGCTACAGTATAAGGGAGCTACCATTTGATTTTTATGGGGCTAGGATGAAACATTTTGTCCTGCATTTTTTTTTAGTTGTAATCTCTGTCCTGCCTTTTTATTTTTCACTCTATTCGGTCCTGCCTTTTTTTTAAAAGTTTATCCTGACTTTTTTTTACCTAAATTGTCATCCTGACTTTTTTTTTGCAAGTGTCTCATCATGCCTTTTTTTTTACTCAAAACTCCTGTCCTGCCTAATTTTTTCAAATTTCATCCTAGCCCCCCCCCCCCCCCCCCCCATAAAAATCAAATGGTAGCTCCCTAAGATCATCTTTACCTTTAGATACCTTGGCTGAAAAGATGCTGTATATATATATTTACTTTGTATGCAAACACTACTTTTAAATTGCCACAGAGAAATTGAAAGTTCACAACAATGAATGAAAATCGAAACAATTTCTTTTGTTTTCAATTCAAGATCTTTTTAAATCTTCAATTGTGAAGCATCTGTAATACTATTAAATATAAAGGTGTTTGTATGGAATTGGGGTTAGAATTCTAAACATTTGATAACCATATATTGCGACTTCTAATTTGAAATGTTTTATTGATGGTTTGATTTGTCCTCCAATTATCAACGTTTGTTAGCATGATTATTTCTTTGGTCCTAACAATAATATAAATGTTCTCTTACATTACACACATATTAATATTATGTATAGGAGAGCGTAGAACGATACCACACGGACAAATTAAAAAAGAAAAATG